GAGCCACAGCTCTACTTCCAGCTTTTTCTAAGTAATTTTGTTGAAGATAAGAATCTCATGTCCTTCCTGCCCTCGCTGGCTTTGAACTGCAATCCTCAGAGCTCAGCCTCCTGAATAGCTAGGTCTACAATGGGAGCCACCAGCACCCCGCTTTGTCATGGTTATTTTTTCATGGCAAGATCTTACTTTATATCCTAGCTACTCTGCTTACAAGTCTTCCTACGTGTGCTTTCCTGCACTGACTAGTCACAAGCTACCCCAACAACCTCTGACTGAGATGGATCTTAAAAACTCTATGCCCAGGCTGGCCTTAAACCAAGATTCCCCCAATCTATGCTTTTAAGTAGCTAGGATTACAGGGTTGAGCCACTGTGCCTGGCTCCAAGAATCTTAAAACAAACATTGTACCAAAGACTGTAATATAGAGCTACTATATATAGCACAGTTGTGAATAGTAATTCTATTATCAAACTAGTATAATCAACAGTAAATAATCAACAGTATAGGGCTGGAAAGGTGGCTCAAGTGGTAGAGCACTAGCCTTGAGCTGAAGAGCTGAGGGACAGCGCCCAGGCCCAGAGTTCAGGCCCAGGACCAGACCCCCCCCCCCCCAAAAAAAAATAATAATCAACAGTATGGTTGAAGGCAAGGCTCAAAGGCTAGAGCATCTGCCCAGCATGAGGCCTCAAGTTCAAGCTACACTAATAGAAATAATCTCATGATATGAGAATGAAGAAGGAAGGTATGTGTTTAGGAGAGAAATAGACAAACTAGAGCTCAACCTTCATATTTCTAAATAGATCAATAAGTAAAACCTACAGCTGAAATGCCATCAAACAGTAAAATAAATACAAGACACAACTAAAAGATCTGAAATGGTTACCTAAAAAGAAAGGAAAGTGTGGGGGGGGAGAATCTTGTTTAACTTAAAATCATTTATGTAACATTTTGAAATAAATAAAACATCAGATTAATAATGACCTAAGTTTATTGTTCAAAATGAGTAATTCAACTATTATACTTACCAAGGGATCATTGACAATGAAGATTATAATAGGTAGGAGAAAAAAAAAATCCGATGATTGCTCAGATTAAGCAATATCAAGGGACAAAGACAGATAGATTGAATGGATTGCTTCATTTTGAATTTCAAGACAGATTGAATGGATTGCTTCATTTTGAATTTCAAGGGTGAGGAGAATAGCGAAGACAATAAACCCTTCAATTTAATATGGCTCACAACCATATTCCTAGCTACTCAGGAGGCTGCGATCAGAAGATCAGATTGTGATTCAAAGCCACCATCTTTTGTAGTCAAGACAAATTTGAGTAGACTCTTAATTTCCAATTAACCAGAAAAAAGCTCAAAGTGGCTCAAGTGGTAGCTATCCATCAGTGAAAACGCTAAGGGAAGCCCTGAGTCCAAGGCCCAGTACTGGCACATTCACAAAAAAAGATTCTATGTTCCATAAATTTCACAGTGCTCTATATTGGAACTCTGGATTATTTTAACCAAAAGGTATTATATATTTAACAATTTATTTCTCTCATTTTATAGTTACTTAAACCAGATTACAGCTGGTCGGGGCAGAATCAGAACCCTATGCTCTTAACTCCCACATTCTCTTTTTTGCAACACAAAGCATCTTAAAAGAATTATTAAATACCAAAAAAAAAGGTATTTGAGTTTTATTGGGACATTCATTAATAGTTTTTTGTTGTAAAAGGGGAGGTCTAAGCTGGGTGCTACTGGCTCATGCCTATAATCCTAGGTACTCAGGAGGCTGGGGAATCAAGGTTCAAAGCCAGCTCAGACAAATAAATTTAAGAGATTTTTGTTTTCAGTTAACCACCAAAAGCTAGAAATAGAGCAGTGGCTCAAATGGCAGCGTGCCATGCCACCTTGGGACAAAAACAAAGGAACAGCTCCAGATCCTAAATTCAAACCCCAGTAATGGAACAAAAAACAAAACAATAAAATAAAACAATAAAATAATAGGGGTTATAGCCAAACTTGGTGGTACATGCTTGTAATCCAACACTTAAAGGCTCAAGCAGGATCACAACTTTATAAAGTTTGCTGAGATAGACAGAAAAAGCCTTGTCCCACCCCCCCCCCAAAAAATCTACTTGAGCATACAGAGAAAATGGAAAAATAAGGACCAAGTTTGAAGTTAAAACTAAGATCTTTGCTGTATGCCAGTAGTTCACACCTGTAATTCTGGCTACTCAAGACGCTGTGATCTGAGGATCACAGTTCAAAGCCAACCTGGGCAAGAAAGTCTGTGATTGTTATCACCAAAAGTGAAGCTGTGGAAGGGGTAAAGTACTAGGCCTCAGCGAAAAAGAGACAGTGCCCAAGCTAACTTCAACTTTTTTACCAAAAAATAAAACAAAAAAAAAAAAAATCCCTGATCTTTTACTTTTAAAATATTAAGCAGGCTATGAGGTACTAAGTTCAAGTCCTGGTCTCAGACCTAATAAAACTTAAATAATTAAATAAATAAACAGGAGGGGACAGGTAGGGTTGGAAGGAATGAAGATGATAAAGGGGATGATAGTAATAAAGATGTATTGTACGCATGAATTGTCAAAGTGAATGGTAACCCTTTGGTACAATTACTTAAAGATAATAATAATTTAAAAAAAAAACTACCAGACATTGGTGCTGTAATCCTACTCAAGAGGCTGAGATCTGACAATTGTTTCAAAGCCAGGCTAGGCAGGAGACTCTTATCTCTAATTAACCACCACCACCACACACACACCAAAAAAAACCCAAAAGTGGAGCTTTGTCTTAAGTGGTAGAGCACTAGCTTCAACCTGAAAAAGCTTCAGGGACAGTGCCCAAGCCCAGAGTACAAGCCCAGTACCAGCAAAAAAGAAAAAATGGAAATCCGAAAACCAAATATTTTTAAGTTTTAAGATCTGAAGTGGAAAATAAAATCAAAACTCAATTCAAACTAGCTGTTTCTGGGTTTTTCCAAACCTTGGCCTCCTGTTCCTTAATCCCAATGTAGTGAGATCTGAAAGCAGCATCCTGGATACGTACTAGCTATCTTCTTCTGTACTCTTGGCCTGAATAATGTGTCTCCTTGTTTGAATGAACATTTCTTGCTCTAACTAAACTTCTCATGGTATACCCAACAAATCTACTTACATGCAAGGAATATTTGCATCCAGAAACACTTGTTTTGTGATCATCCAGCAAGCAATATTGATGTTATTAGAATTAAGGTTATTTTCACAAACTAATCTATGTGTGATTCGTCTTCAACCAGAATGCCATCATCCTTCTTATATATGCTATCATCCTCTATACATACCCTGGGGAGCACTGTTTGATAACTGCAATAAGATCTATTTTCATTAAAAACAATAAAAAAAATAAGCAAAGAATAAAAGTTAAACAGAAGTTGGACATGATAGAACCCCAACACTCAGAAGACTGAGGCAAGACCTTAACAAGGACAAACTGGGCCAGTCACTAAGCAAGACACTGTCTAAATAAATAAGTAAAACAAATAGTTTAAAAAGAAGGAAGTATGTATCTGAACTCTGTTCTTCCTCTTTTATGAGACACAACTAGGTCTTTAAAAGGCTGTACAAATACTTGGCCCCAACTGCAGGTTTATCCCTTCTATCTACCTTGAAAATGCCATTGAAAAATATATACTTTACTGTACTCTGTATTCCTGTTCAAATGATTCAGAACACTTTAACTCAGATATCATGCCTTAGGATCTAGAGCTCTGCAGAAAATATGTTTGGGGAGAAAGACTTAAGAAAAGATATGCTGCCTGGTAATTTTAAGGAATTGGTGGTGATCAACAAAGAGATGTAAAGGTTTGGGTCATTCTTCATAATCTCAATGTTTTACAAGGAATCTAGTTTTCAAGATATGTCTAAATACGAAGGAACATCAAAAAGTGAGCTATGGCCTACTCCTTGGCACTACTGCTCATAAATGCAGAGAGGGCCCATTACCAGTCACCACAGAAAAACTTGGGTCAAAGCCAGGAGACACCTATAATCCTAACACATGGCAGATTGAAATAGGAGGACGGTAAGATTAAGACCAGCCCAACCAAATGACAAATTCAAGGACAGCCTGATGACGTAGAATTTTTTCTCAAAAAAAGGGGAAAAAAGGCAGTTATCAGAAGTCATTCCTATATCATAGGTATTCAAGAGGCTGAGATCCAGAGAGTCACAGTTCAAAGCCAACAAAAGGCAAAGAAGTCCATAAGACTTCATCTCAATAAATAAATAAGTAAATAAGTAAATAAATAAATGGCAGTAAAAATGTGGCTCAAGTCACAGGGTACCAGCCAAGCAATCAAGCCAGCCCTGAGTCCAAACCCTGCCAACAGAGGGAAAAAAAGGAACATGGTCCAAGTGGTAAATTGCCTGCTAGGAAGCATGAAGCCCTGAGTTTAAAACCCCAGTAACACAAACAAAAAGATGATTTGGGTAAAGTTAGTTAGCTAGCACATTAAATGGATGCCATTTTTGTGTTTTCATACTTACTACCCAAATGTGGCCTCAACATTTTCCTTACCTTAACAGGAAGGATTGATGCATGAAAAGCAGCAGCACCTGTATCTTTATCAATCAGTCTATTCCACACCAAAATCTATACTGCAACATTACTGTGTTTAAGATCTGAATGAGATTAAAGACCTAGAGGCTTTCAATAGTACCTGTGAACTGATTATTTAAATAGCAGCATCTAATCAATATGCACTAAAATAAAATTATTCCTATTCTTTAAAACCAGGCATCTTTGGAAACCTCTCAAGTTTTTCAATATGAACAGTAAGATAAAAAGTTGATAAGGTAGACATCAAAGTAAACTTTAATTCATTCAGTGCATTCTATCTCACACATATCCACTCCAATCAAATGTCCTTTAACCCATTCTGTACACTAAATAGAGGAGATAAACAGTATACTTCATGAAAGTGGTAACTAACCTAACAATACTCAGAATGTTTTTCTACTCTTGGATATTAAATCACACAATGCCATCTACTGTGTTTTATAATTTGTAGGAACTACTGTTTATTCTGTACTACTTTATTTAACTTTTAGTTTAAGGAGTAATAGAAAAAATATTTTACTATAATCATTTTTTCATCTTGAGCAATAACAATGAGAACTACTGGGATTACACCCATGTTTACTAGTCTAAAAGAAGTGTTTCAAATGACAGAGGCTTCTGCGCTTCATTAGAAAGATTCAGAGAGGAAAAAAAGAGATGGTTAAAGACATATTCAGGAACAAATAATAAAACTTTCTGCTGCAACACCAATAATTCATTAATGTCCATTAACTCTATGTCCACTGAGAAAATTCTCTAAAATTAACATAATTAAGTTAGCTAATAAAACACAATCTCTGCAAGTTGTGTATAAGGAGAATCCTTGTATAACTAATAGGCATACAATATAGAATGGCTTACAAATAAAATATACTACATTTGTTATCAAATACAAAACAAGTCCAGATTTATATTTTAGAAAAAAATTAATTTATTTAAACTAAGAGACCCTGCCTAATTCTATTTTGGTATCAAACATTGAAATTGGTACTGGGAAAAAGCATCTATATTTATGGCAAGATGCTGTATACAAAAACTATACAAAATTAATTTTAACATCAACTTATAAAAGAAAGGTTCCTGAAATTAATTTTGCTTTGGGAAAAGTATCAAATCTTCAGATCCAGAATTATAGTTTTTTATTACTTTAATTCATTGAATTATAGCACATCAGATCTTTAAGCAATGTTGTCAGATAAACCCTTTATAATAAAATATTCAGCATTTCCTGGTAGCTTTTTGGAATGTGAATGAAAATTTGTTCCTTTTTTAATTAAAAATAAATAATAATAATGATGATGATGATAATGATGATGATGATGAAACCAAGAGCCCAATAGGATCAAACACCTGTCAGAATGGTTTGTCTGCTGGAATTAAGCATGGGCAGATAGTTCTGCATTATTGGAAAATGCCATACATTGAGGTCTTTTTTTCTGTACAAAAAAAAAACCACACACACACACACACACACACACACACAAAACAACTTTTCACAACCATCTCAGAGCTCTAAGACTTATAATGCAAACTGTTACTCAATCTGAACCAGGAAGTCTGAATCCATAGAAGGCATCTTCAAAATTAGGCGTATTTTAAAGTACATTTACACAAAACTAAATTTCTTTTATTGTTAAGAAATCTAGGAGCAATAATTTTAACCTTCAGTCGCAAAATATAGGTAGCCTTAAGATAAACATGCTTGATCAATCTTTCTTAAAGCATTTGGGTGTGTTGGCCAAAATAGTTTAAAAAAAAGGGGGGGAGGGGGAATCCTAGGACTCTTTCCTAATGGCTTTTAAGAGATTCATTTGCAGACATAGCTAAATAATCATCTAAAAAAGTATCAGGCTATCCAATTATATTTGCCATGAATTTAGACATACATATAAAATATAAAAGATTTTTTTAAAAAAAAGTATTTCAGACCTAAGATGAATTTATCTAATAAGGGTTACATGAGAAACACCACAAAAGACCAAAAAGAAATTTCAGATACAAAATTACATGACATGGCTTCATTCAAGCACACCAACAATTCAAAGTGAAGTGAAATATCTAGGCTGGTTTTTTTACATCACCAGCTTTCATCAGGGCCTTAATTGCTCTTGCCCTCATCTCAAGTTCCAGCAGCTCCAATTGCTGAGCAGAAGGCTGAACATCTTCTGGTGGAGGAACAGTCAGGGTGGCTGTCTTTGGTTCCTTTGTGCTAGACTCTGCCAGTCCCAGAATCTCATTCACACTTTTTTCAATATCTTTCTCCAGGTCATCTATCTGACCTGCTTCACTTTGGACTGTATTTTCTGGGGCCTCAGGAGCAGCAGTTTCTTCATTGCATGGGCCTTCTATGTCGCTGTCATAAGCATCTGCATTTATACTGAGTACATCACTATCTTCCCCTTTACCTGTAACAAACAAACAAACAAACAAAAAAGGGGGAGGAAAGAACCATGTAACCTGAAAGCCCTGGGTCAAAATACCATTGCTGTTTGTGACCACATGGCTGCTTTGACCCACTTCCTGTCGTGAAGTCCATAGTGCCCATTTCACCTCCTGTTTCCCTGAAGCTTCAATTTCAAGACTGAATTTCATAGAAATCCTAATGTATGTGTCATTCCAATTTAGAACACAGAAGCACTAGAAAATGTGTACGCCATCTAGAGTTCCCATTCTCTAGTTTCCTAATTAAAGTATCACAGTGGTTTTATGACAGTAACACTTCCATGGTGTCTTTAGGCATCCTTTGGATAGAGTATTATTAACAAGTAAATTTTCATTCTAGAAGATATTTAAAATAGCTTATTATGAACTAAAAGGAAAAATAGTATCAACAAGCTGGACACTGCACTATTATACCCAATTTTTTCATGCTATTTCTTTCTCTTTTTTTTTTGGTCGGTCGTGGGGCTTGAACTCTGGGCTTGGACACTGTCCCTGCACTCTTCAGCTCAAGGTGAGCAATCTACCACTCGAGCCACAGCACCACTTCCACTCTCTCTCTTTTTTTTGTCCATCATGGGTCTTGACCTCTGCACCTGGGCACTGTCTCTGCACTCTTCAGCTCAAGGCTAGTGCTCTACCACTTGAGTCACAGCTCTGCTTCTGGTTTTCTGGTGGTTAATTGGAGGTAAGAGTCTCACAAACTTTTCCTGACCGGGGTGGCTTTGAAACTGAGTCTTAGATCTCTGCCTCCTGAATAGCTAGGATTGTAAGTGTGAGCCACTGGCACCAGGCTTTTTTTTTTTTTGGGGGGGGGGGGGGGGGAAGGGAGGCGGGTCAGTCATAGGACTTGAACTCTGGGCCTGGGCACTGTCCTTGAGCTCTTCAGGTGAGGTGAGCCCTCTACCACTGAGCCACAGCACCACTTCCAGTGTTTTGGTGGTTAACTGGAGATAGGAGTCTCATGGACTTTCTGCTGGAGCTGGCTTTGAACCAGGATCCTCAAATCTCAGCTTCCTGAGTAGGTAGGATTTTACAGGCATGAGCCATCAGCACCAGGCTTTTCATTTTATAAACACTTGGTTCTGAATCAGTGAATTAAAGAGAATGCCTACAGCTATTTTCAAAAATAAAGTAAATCTTATAAAGGGGATTTTAATTAATGAAGTTATAATAATACATCATCATTTCAAAAAAATGTATCTGTAATAAAAGTTCTGTAACTGATGCTAAGAAACTGAATACAAATGTACTTCATGACTTTCAATCACCTTAGTTTTGATGTAGGTGGATATTACCCAACTTTAGACAAATTTACAACTTTGAGTACTATTTATTATTATTTATATTTGCAAGCCCTAATATAATTTTTGTTTAAAGAATAATTTGTGTGTGTGTGCACACGTGTACGCGCACATGCACGCGCCAGAGCCTGGACAAGGTTCTTTTTTTTTTTTGTCGGTCGTGGGGCTGGACAAGGTTCTTTTTCACTCTAGGCTGGCACTCTAGCTCTTGAGCCACAGCTCTACTTCTAGGTGCTTTTGTGGTATGGTTAGTTGGAACTAAGAGTCAGCCCAGAGTGGCTCTGAATCTCAATCCTCAGATACAAGCTTCCTGATTAGCTGGAATTACAGGTGTGAGCCACATGCACCTAGCTTGGAATGGTTCTTTAATGTTGGCTTTCATAAGAGTAAACTCATTTACAATACTTCTGCCAAAGGAAAATTGTGATAACAAAATGTATTCCTACCCCCTCCACCCTGGGTAGGGAAAAGTCAGTTTTCAAATACTATTTTTGGTGACTAAGAAGCACCAAACAATATATGCTCATTTAATTTTGATCATTTTTAAGCTTTTTAATATTCTGTTTAGCTACAGCTAAAAAGACTCTGCTCCAAACTTACAAAATATTATTTTATAAAGCTATCAGCATAAGAGGTAGGATCAAAAGATTTACATACACAGTCTCAATATTTCAAGAAGAAATACCTGGACAAGACATTTTCATTTGTATGAGTGTGCTTCAAACTTTTTAGGGACAAAAGTTTAGGCCTTGCTTTACTCATTTTTATATCAAAAACAGTACATCTATTACTAAAGAAACAGTGCTCTGTAAATTTGGTACTTTCTGTTTACATTCAGAATTATCCAAAAATCCAAATGGTCTGAGGTCTCTGGAACACAATACTGTAGAAGGCATTCATAGATTCCATCTGTCCATTATTAGATTACATATGCCAAAATGTTGTAAATTGTACACCTGAAATGATTTATTATAAACAATATAAAAGTACTTGAAGGTCTTATAGGATCATCAGATCTTTTTACTGTTTAATTTTCATCATATTGACTCACTTTGGGGTGGGGGTGGGGGTGGCTTTAACTTAGGGCCTGTGCACTGTCCCTGAGCTTCTTTTGCTCAAGGCTAGCACTCTATCACTTGAGCCACATTGCCACTTCCGGCTTTTTCTGTTTATATGGTACTGAGGAATTGAACCCAGGGCTTCATGCATACTAGAAAAGCACTCTACCACTAAGCCACATTCCCAGCCCCGATACTCACTTGTTAAAGCATCATTTGCAAACATATAAATATATTTTCAAAGATAATTACTCTCATTATTAGTAGTAGAAAGTTTAGGGAGTTTCCTATCAATTATGACCCTCAAAGTACAGAATGTAAAACATAATTTTTTTTAATAAAGAAGTTATTTAACCCCAAATGTCTCATTCAAATTCCTTACAATTTCAATGTGGTCATGTTCTGTCCTTCTGAACCAAGCTTTCACACAGCCCTGACTCTGTGTAACAGTAATAATCATCAAACGGTAAATTATTCCCAAGAGCCCATAGCTCACACCTGTTATTCTAGCTACTCAGAAGGTTGAGATCTAGGGATTGTGGCTCAAAGCCAGCCTGTACACGAGCCTCTTAACCTCCAATTAATGAGCAAAAAGTCAGAAGTGGAGCTGTGGCTCAAGTGGTAAATCATTAGCCTTGAGCACAAAAGCTCAGGGACAGCTCCCAGGCCTTGAGTTCCAGCCCCAGAGGACACGGACACACACACACACACACACACACACACACACACACACACACACACACACACACACACACACACACACACACACACACACACACACACACACACACACACGTAAATTATCCTTATTCTTTTAAATAAAATCAAATTAGTACTGAGATAATACAAATAATGTGATTATTTTAATAAAGCTTTAGAATTCATTCTGAGAAAGTTAAAAAACTCAATAATTAGAAGTAATACACAATATGATTTACATGAACTAAGTAAGTGTTTTAACTTTACAAAGATACTATACTTAATACCACTTAATCATTTGAGCTTCATTACAGCCATAAAGGAAAAAAATTTGATGTACATATGACATAAGATTATTGATATCTCACAAGAAAAATGAAATAGATATAGCTGAGTGAAAATATTTAAACTTCAATTTAAAATAACAGTAATAAAAGTTTGAACTATGAAATATAAAAAGCATTGTAATCATAAGCAGTGTAGGAAAAAGCAAGCAAATAAGAGTTACTGTCCTTTTGGAAGAGAAATACTAAAATAACTTGATACAATTCGCAAAGAAACAAGAGATTATGATACATTCTTTCTATTAATTTTGCTCCTCCATTAAGGTAAATGAATGACCTCTAAAGTATCACATACCATTTACAGCACTTCAGAGAAAAGCAACACAAATGAAAAAATGAAGTGGACAGCATATGGGGAAAGATTAAAGGACTTTAAGATTTAAGGGAAAAGGTAGTAAAGAGTGCTGAGTTTTCTCAAGCATTCATCTCTTCCAGCTGATACTCCAACCAGCTATTTGCCAATGCTTGCCAATGCTGCTCACTATAGTCTCACCATTTCTCTTTTGTTTTCCTTCTATCTGCTGTTCTACCAACTTGTTTCACAGCCAAAACTCTGCTACCGAGTACTAAAGAGTTTAAATAGTCCATCTAGAATCAGTATCTAGACAGCAATATGAATCAATAACCACTCTAATACACCACTGAAACAAATGAATATATGAAATAATTGATTGGAGAAATATTTTTATATTATTCAATGAGCCATAGTTATGAACATGGGTTAAAATCACGAAGACAAGCCGGGCGCTGGTGGCTCACGCCTGTAATCCTAGCTACTCAGGAGGCTGAGATCTGAGGATCGCGGTTCAAAGCCAACCCAGGCAGGAGAGACTGCGAGACTCCTATCTCCAATAAAACCACCAGAAAACCGGAAGTGGCGCTGTAGCTCAAGTGGTAGAGTGCTTGCCTTGAGCTGAAGAGCTGAGGGACAGCGCCCAGGCCCAGAGTTCAAGCCCCACGACCGACCAAAAAAAAAAAAAACAAAGAATAAAATCACAAAGACAAAATATTTGGCATCTACACAGAACACTCCCAATTCTTAACACTGAAAGGAAGACAAACTATATCATACCAAATCACTTTAAAACTAGTATACTTTTTGTTGTTGCTGCTATTATTGATGTTGTTTTTATTTTTTGTCATTTTGGGAGGCAAAAGCAAGCATAGAAATGGAGGGAGAGAAGGTTAACAAATTAAATGATAGTATCCAATATACACTATGTAAAAAATGAACTAGGTAATTTATGGGCAGACATGAGAGAGGGAAGTGGAAGAAAGTGAAAAAAGGAGTGACAATGTTAAAAAGAATTGTACTCATTATCTGACTTTTGTAAACTTTATGTACAATTCCTTAATAATAACAATAGAATTATGCTTTTAAAAGTAATATACTTTGGTACAAATGAAAGTATACTATGAAATGGGAAAATTTTTAATGTAATACTTATATTTTTACTACTAATACCTATATTGATAACCAATTTTAATGCTTGAAAGCAGCATGGATCCTCTAAGTTATGTATCAGGGAAATATGCTAAGTCACAGATTTGATTTTTCTTA